GTGCCTCGGAAGACGGGCGAATGCTTTGCTCGGTCCAGACGGCGTTACGTACAACGATTTCAAGAGGGCCGATCCGGGGTCCCGTGTGCTGGCTGCGTTGTTTGACGCGGTTTGGCGTACGGAAGGGGTCCCCTCTTGTTGGAGTGAGTCGAACACCATACTCCTCTACAAGAAGGGTGACCCGGGCAATATTGGCAATTGGCGTCCGATATCCCTCGCAGATACGGTGCCAAAGCTATTCGCGGCGGTTTTGGCGGACAGGGTCAAGGAATGGGCCATGACCAATGCTGTTTACAGCAAATCCCAAAAGGGTTTTTTGCAGTTCGAGGGTTGCTACGAACACAATTTCATCTTGCAGGAAATCCTGAGGGAAGCCAAGGACCGGAAGAGAGAGGTAGTGGTGGCTTGGTTGGATTTAAGCAATGCTTTTCCATCCTTGCCCCATTCCTCGATCTTTCGGGCCCTTGAGGGTCACAGCATGCCATTAAATGTGAGGAACGTCATCTCCTCCCTTTACGCGGACATGAGGGCGAGGGTACAGGTGGCTAGCGGTAGCACAAATCCCATCCGCATCCGCTCTGGAGTTCGTCAGGGGTGCTCGTTGAGCCCGGATGTGTTTAACCTGAACCTTGAGGTCGTGCTTCGATGCATGGCCAATACAGGGGAAGGTTACACATTCGGTGACGTGCGCTTTAACAACTTTGCGTACGCCGACGATATGGCACTCGTCTGTGACTCCATGGGTGGTATGTGGAGGCTGCTGGAGGCAGCTGAATTGGGAGCGACAGCTGTTGGACTAAAATTTAATGTAGCAAAATGTGCGACTCTCCACATCGTGGATGGTCAGGTCCGACGCTCCTCGCTCTCAATTCAGGGACAGCTGATCCCGGTGCAAGACGCCGCCGACGCCTATGAGCATCTAGGCATCCCTACAGGTTACCAGGTGAAACAAACACCCGTTAACACCATACGGGGCCTTCTCAACGATGCACATTTCATCCATACTTTCCTGCTTGCCCCACGGCAGAAGCTGGACGCGGTTAGCACCTTTTTGCTTCCGCGTCTAGACTTCATAATGCAGGGAGGTAAAGTCGAGAAAGGGTACCTGAGCGAGGCAGACAAGATCCTAAAGAAACTAGCCCGACAATGGCTAAGTCTTCCCCAGAGGGCCAGTGCGGAGCTGATCTTCCTCCCTCCGTCACAGGGGGGGTGGAGGTCTGATCCCGCTGGCCGATCTATACTATGTAATTACCGTGGCTCACGCATACAGAATTCTGTATTGCGCTGATGCCGCGGTAAGCAACTTAGAAAAAATTTGGCTGGGGAAGACGGAGAGGGCTCAGAGGCAGGCCACTAACACCGACATGGCCGCCTACCTCTCCAGTGACCCTGGGATGCCTCGCTCCAGCGCTCGGACCTCGTTCTGGGCGCAGGTACGCGCTTCAGTCGCAAGACTTAGGAAAAAGCTTGGACTGAAGTGGAGATGGTGCTCCGAGCAGGAGACGTTTCACCTGGACTGCGGGGACGGTGCAGCGTTCTCTGTCTCGCCGGGCCAAAAACATCAGGATGCGGCAATGCTGCGGAAGTGCCTGGTTGAGCACTATGCGGGATCACTACTTGCTAAAAAAGATCAAGGCAAGAGTTTCGAGGTCCTCCGGAAGTCCAAAGTGTCTAATCACTTTCTCCGGAGTGGCAGGAATACCCGCTTCTGCGACTGGCTCTTAATCCATCACGCTAGACTCAATGTCCTCCCTGTCAATTCAACCTTGCGTTGGCTGACGGGGGCGTACAAGAGATGTCGCAGATGTGGGGCTCCATCCGAAACGCTCCCGCATGTGCTTAACCATTGCACTGTACACTCAGCGGCACGACAGAGACGGCACAATAACGTCCAGGATCGGCTTGTGAAGGCATGTGCTCGCAACCCCTGCCCGATCTACGTGAACCACTCCGTTCAGGGAGTCCACGGCACGCTGGCGACTTTAAGACCTGATATCGTCCTTAGGGACGAGATCCATCGCTGCATCCTCATCGTCGATGTATGTATCTCCTTCGAGAATCGGCTAGTGGCTTTTACTGAGGCCCATGAGGAAAAGCGTACAAAGTACGCCGCCCTAGCCGAACAGCTCCGGGGCCAGGGATACACGGTAGATGTGGATGCCTTTGTCGTGGGCGCCTTGGGTTTATGGGACGGTCGCAATGAGGCTGTCCTGAATCGTCTTGGAGTAAGCAGTCGCTTACTCCGCTCGGCTTCGCCTCGGCGTCATAACCCGCACGCACGGAAATTCAACTTTCGTGCCATTTGATGTAATCTACTATTATGTACTTTTATGCAATTTAATGCTATTTCACATTTTTAAGGGGTATATAAATTATAAATTTAATTTTTAAGTACAAATTTGAATGTTACATCAAATAGAAATAGAAATATATAATCATTCAAGCCCCCTTTGAGCCCTTAAGGGGGGAAAGGTACCTTAGATCTACATTTATGAAAAATTTATTAAAAATGAAGAAAAAAATTTTTTTAGAACATACAGAGAAAACTCTGTTTTTTCACTTTTTTTAAAGTTTTTTACTCTGGAAAATGAAAATTGAGGTCCCAGTCACCATAGAATCCTCCTCGATAAAGCAAGCCCACAGTCCTGACAGGTACCCATGTGTCGTAGGTTCCAGCTAGAACCGATGGTTCAATCATGGCCATTGGGGTCTCCTTTTGATCATTTGATGTGTGGTTACAAACGCAAGCACTTTCCGATTTTTCACTTAGTTATACACAATTTGCCAGCCACATATACACATTTATTCATTAATATATATGATAAAATGACAGATTATGCTACAATATATCCTGAAAAAGTGCTTATTTGTCCCAATACCTTTGAAAGTGCTTGCGTTTGTAGCCATTCTCATGAAGAACAATCCCTGGAAATTTCAGCTCATTTGCTCAAACGGTTCACATGGAAAGTTACGAAAACAAAGCAATTTTGAGACGAAACGTAACTGCCCAAGAGTTAAAAAAAACAAAAATACACCAATATATGTCATAATGATACTCTCATATCACTGAGGCTGCTTTAAACTTTTTGGACAATAAAAAACAGTAATTCAACTTGAATTTTCAACATATTAGACCCACAAAAACAATGTTCAATTATCCCAGACAGACACACAAAACCAAATGCGACAATTTCATCACTACATTTTATAAGTTGTACTAAAATGTTAGTATACGCTAATATGAGTTTTATGTGGAAACTGGTAACTAAGTTGATTATGTCCAAATACACTTTTCACACAAATATACACAATCTCACATTTGAACTTGAACTCAGTCCTCTACCTATTCACTCTTATTCATAATTAATTATTGGATCTATAGTTGGAAATAAAATCACTCAAAATTGATCAATTATGACTAATCTTGTACATCTTATGCAAAATACAATAATATACATGAAACAGTCATGTACACATACAAAAAGTACAGTGACATACATGTACACTGATGTATATATGTCAATTTACATATGTAGTGCTGTATTTCTTGAATTTGAACTGCTAAAAATGTCACATTTTCATAAAAAGCTATTGAAACATCTTCATAGCTTTATTATGAAACACTATGTAAAGTTTCAAAGTTATAACTTCAATGCAGATGAACTTTTTTCACTTTCAAAAAAATGTAATTTTTAGCCTCTGGAAAATCAAGAAGCAGTCAGCAGACTGTTATTGACATTTGATCCGGGCTCGCGCACGAAACAGATAGAGACAGAAGATATGCCGAAACTCACGTGCTGCGATTGGTGGCGTTACTGTACACCTATAGCCATGTGAACAAACTAATTTCTGCTAGATGTACTCTAACCAAAAAATAAAACCAGTATCAATAGATGGCACTACCGACTTATGAAAGTCTCGAGATTCATGAGAGAATGTCAACGATATATCTTTGAGTCGTTTCATTCATTTTTTCCAAATAATCGTAAAAGTATCGGTACTAAATAGGCTGTACATCACGGCTGTACATACAGTTAAAATTTTAAAATCCCGATCACGGCACTGGAAAGCTGAGGAAAAATCCTATCAAAAAAGTCAATAATAAAATTTTTTTTTTTTTTAAATTCAAGGTACCTTTCCCCCTTAATAAAACAAATATACATGCATACTAATATTATTTTAAAAAACTAACCTTTTTTGCCTTTCCAACCTGCTGAATTTTTCAATTTAATAATATTATTGAAATTATAATAATTTCAACAATATAGTCGTTGACAACGATCAAAATATTTCACACGTATGGCACCATTTTCGTCAAAACAACGCGAACTTGTGTACACTTTAAAATGTAATTAACCTAAACAAATCTTTGTTCTCTCTTGTTGTAAAGAAAAGTGATGCGAGGTCGTTACTCGTCAATGACGTCATGAAGTAAGTTGCAAACTGAGTTGGTTTCAGTGGGCTCTACCGTCGCCGTTCATAGTCTGTGCAAGATAAGCGCCGCAAGTGGCAAGACTCTGAAACATTTGAGCCACAGTTGAGCGGGCAGCGATGTATGCGCGCGAAGAAGTTTTCAAATTTTTAACCCGCGGCGGCTGCTGACGTATGTGCCGCGTCCATAACGCACGCGAAACTGTTTTAAAGTTTTGAAGTTAATTAATTTAATATATAGTAAATGGTTGTTTTATAATTATTATATATATAAATTTACTATACTAAATAGTCAACACTATATTATAGAACACTTTTAAATTTTATAAGTCATTACAATTACTATAAGTAATAAAATTATTTATTAAATATTTACACGACTAAATAATCAATCTCTCGTTTTTAACTTGTCTAACGTAACGTATTTAAATTAATACAGTGAAACAAACACTTCAATGTTAGAAATGACTACCGCTTTTAAAGCTTATTATAATGTAAAAGTTACTACTGCTTTTAAAAACTTAACAAATAAAAACTTTTTTTTCTTCAAGTAGTTGATAGATAGCAGCCTATTCGGGTCTGGTGTGTCTCTTCGGGGTTTTGTTGCCATTAATCAGTATAATGGGTGATATTGGTTCTCTTTCGTCGTCTTTACGAATGCAGGATGAATCAGAACATACAATCGTACAAGGTGCTGAAGTAAAGCAAAACAATAGTTATAAGTTAGATTAAAAAATATAATTAGTTATTATTATTATTATAAGTAGGTTAGATTGTACGTTACCGTTCTTTTTTATTTCTCCTGTGAGGAGGACAGGAGTTCCTTTATTAAACAAAATTGGCGTATAATTATTTATATGCACTGATATTTTGAATTCGCCATCTCCAACAGCTCCAGACCCATAAGAACCATTATCGAATTTGCTGGACACAGTAACAAACATGGTTTTCATATATCCTTTGAGAACTATAAAATTAGAAAAATGAATAAATTAGCCCATAATTGTCTAGTGCATAAATAAAATTTATTTTATAATATTAAGTATAAAAATCTTACTAATAGGGCCAGCATTGTTACTTTGTCTTTTTCAAGTTTTTGAACAGTTATTCAAAAAATAAACACTGTAGCTCAATTGGTATACTATGCAAGTCTCAAATAGCGAACCAATTTGAGCTAAAATTAAAATACTTTACTATAAGTATTGATGCAAAAGATTGAAATAAAACTTTTATATTATTAAACTCATTGTTCCTTCTTTTTCATCCATTTTTGACACTTCATTGATTATGTTTTAAGTGCCAGATTACCTCATCAATGATGCTGGAAGTCGCCAATGATAAAGATAAATAAATAATGTGATTTGGCGATGATACAATCAGTTATGCTTCTTTTTCTTTTCCCCAATAACTTAACACAGTTGCTTTTCTGCATTTGTAAATTGAGCGTGTCAACAGTTTAACAGTGCTTTAAAAGTGTGAATTTATTGTGTTAAGTTATTGGGGAAAAGAAAAAGAAGCATAACTGATTGTATCATCGCCAAATCACATTATTTATTTATCTTTATCATTGGCGACTTCCAGCATCATTGATGAGGTAATCTGGCACTTAAAACATAATCAATGAAGTGTCAAAAATGGATGAAAAAGAAGGAACAATGAGTTTAATAATATAAAAGTTTTATTTCAATCTTTTGCATCAATACTTATAGTAAAGTATTTTAATTTTAGCTCAAATTGGTTCGCTCTTTGAGACTTGCATAGTATACCAATTGAGCTACA